TGAATGGCTCAAACTAAAAGAGACCTTTTCTGAACATGTTGTTTCATATAGGCCAGGAATCCTCAAATCTGGCTCACGAGATCCACTTTCCTGCAGAGTTTAGCTCTAACCATAATCAAACACACCTGAGCATGCTAAACAATGTCTTCAGGATTATTAGAAAATCACAGGTAGATTAGTTTGATCAGGGTTGGAGCTAAACTCTGCAGTGCATTGGCCCTCCAGGGCAAGATTTGAGGAACCCTGGCATATACAAACAAAAATCTACTTCTCTTCAACGCAAAGTTTTATTTTAATAAAAAAAACAAGTAACAAGTCAGTAATAAAATAAGAACAAGTACAAAAATCGCAAACAACAGCACAAATAAATGCAATAGAATAAAGAGAGCTATGAAAGTTTTTCAGGTTAAGTAAGTTTTTATTCAGTTAAGAAATACTACAGAAATTAAAGTAATAAAATTTTAATTTGATTACTTTAATTTCTGTAGTCTTCATTGTAAAAATTAAATACAGATTAATGCTTACCATTAAAGTTATAAAACGTATTCAGTCAAGAGCAGAAAATTATTTTCTTTGTCTTTTGTTCTCTGATTAACATGACAGACAGCAGCATAAATATTGGACTGCGGTCCCTTTAAGAGTTTATCCACGGACCCAATATTTTTATTTTCATAAAAAAACAAGTAAAAAGTCAGTAATAAAATAAGAACACAAAATAATTGCAAACAACAGCACAAATAAATGCAATAGAATAAAGAGAGCTATGAAAGTTTTTCAGGTTAAGTAAGTTTTTATTCAGGTAAGAAATACTACAGAAATTAAAGTAATCAAATGTAAAATAACACATCCAGTGTTATTTTACATTTTTTTACTTTAATTTCTGTAGTATTCATTGTAAAAATTAAATACAGATTACAGAAGTTATAAAACGTATGGAGTCAAGAGCAGAAAGTGATTTTCTTTGTCTTTTGTTCTTTGATTAACATGACAGACAGCAGCAGGAATATTGGACTGCGGTCCCTTTAAGAGTTTATCCACGGACCCAATATACTGTTACAAATATTGGACTGCGGTCCCTTTTAAGAGTTTATCCACAGACCCAATATACTGTTACACAACATGCGTTCTCTTTCTCAACTATTTAACGTTCCAAAACTGACTGTGTTTAACTGGATACTCGCCAAGACGGGCATTTTGACATCATTTTGTATGTATTTGAACGTTTTAGTACAGTTAGCCACTCATTTTGGTATTTGTGGCTCACAAGCTGTTTGAGACTGAGTGCGGATTGTGCGCTCCACTAATATAGATCAGTGGTGGTGTGCGCGCGTTTGGTATAAGAGCAAAACCTGCGGAAATGACTATAATGCACAATACAAGCACTATTTAACCGAAGCGAATGAGACGTTTGTGAGAGAAGGGGTCTACCATAATTTTTAATCTAAAATGCCATAGTTAGATTTTCTGATAAGACAACATTTTGAAGAATATTATATTATATATTATGTTATGCTGAAGAAAGAAAGTCATGTCATTGAATTAATTTTTTTACCAGTTTCCATTTCATGCTGATCTAGGTTGATCCTCCTCTTCCCAAATGTAATCTTGACTATCAGAACTCATCTCAGATCATTGTTAGGTTATACGGTAATCTTCCCAGTGCAAATGAATGTGTATCTTTCAGTATTACTTTTTTAAAAGAGTTTTGTCTTTGCTTGACAAATCATGTCCATTATGGAGGTTTGGTGTAGGGCTGCAACTAATGATTTTGATCATCGATTTTTTTGGCTGATTATTTTTTCGATTAATCAGATAAAACGCATTTTTTTAAAATTGACAAAACACACTATTCCACATTCTGCCCAATGCTGTCCTTCAAACAAACGTGCCAACTGAATGCTATGAAAACATACTGTATGGTGAATATATCTAGGGCTGTGACGGTCGCCGTGACAACCGCGTCACACCGG